ATTTAAAATTAAAAGACACCGTCTCTCTCTCTCTCTCTCTCTCTCTCTCTCTCTCTCAATTCCAAAAACCAAGGTTCAAAAAATTGGTGATTCAATCTGGAATAAGATGCTCCAGATCGAGAATCGCCGAGGATGTTTCAGATTAGGCATAAAAACGAGATTCGTTCGAGTCCGATGAAAAAATCGCCGATTCTCTAGCTTTTGGAGGCGAGGCTCATCGAATCCTTGCATGAACAGTGAAAAAATCATGTGATTCATTTTTTGTTGTATTATTGAACCATGGCAAGCTTTGTAAAGTATTATTGCTAACAATAATGCATCAAAATGTGATAAAACAATGGATTGAATTCACGGTTATGAAAGAAAAGTCCGAGTTCTAAAAAATTTTGCCATTTGATGAATTAGAAGCAATTTAGAGAGTTTTTTGGATCAAAATCAGAAGGTTTTTAAAGTTCAAAGTGTTATTGAAATGATTATAGTCGTATTTTTTCTGATTCAATAATTATTTTGCTCGATTTTTGAAAAAATCGAGCTCCAAAAATATTTCTGACTACGATCCCACCAAAGAATGATTTCTATTGAAATTGGCCACCATATTGTGTGATATCTGAGGATTTTTGAGGCTCATGATGTTGCTAAAGGTCATTGTGTAAGTTATTTTTGTTATTAACAAAATTTTGTTCATCAATTTATGAAGAAATCATGACTGATTCATGAAGAACCCTAATATTCATATAATTTCATCCATTTGATTAATTTTAAACGAAATAACTAGTTTTTGCGATCGAAATCAAATGGGTTTTGAAGTTTAAAATGTTATTAAACACATGTTTGGGTCAATTTTTAAAGAAATCAAGCTTTGGCAACATTTTATGAAATTTTTAATCCACTGAAGTGTTGATTTTAACACAAATTAGGCACCATTTTAGATAATATTGGAGGGTTTTGAAGTTATTTACTTTATTAACAAAGTTCTATTAATCAATTTTTGTAGAAATATCGACTGATTCATGCGCACTGGAAGAGCCCAAAATTTCGAATCGAAAATTTTGATCAATATAAGTCGATTCAAATCAAATTGAAGTATTTATTATGATCATCATTATTTCAATGCGTATATTTACCAGTATCATTATTTATCGTTTGGTATTTTTTTTATATGAATTTCCTTGTTGAAAATGCTGTGTAAAAATAGATAGCCTTGTTGAAAATGCTCTATGTACGAATTTTCTAGAATCTAAATACATAATTAAATTTCCTTGATACATCAAATTCATGTATGTTCTTATTTCTCTCAATATACAAATATTTTTGTTTTCTATTTTCTTGTAATTATAATCATAATTAAATTTTCTCAATGCATCAAATGTATGTATGTTTTTATTTCTCTAGTATAAAAATAAATATTTTTTTTTTTCATTTCCTTGTTATTATAATCAAATGGTCCAATTATATGTAATGAATGTATTTTATCATGCATCAAATATATTTTTATCCTGCAATAAAAATTTGTATTTTTTAATTTCATCATCAATTTTTTTTATGCACTAAAATGTATCCTCTTGAATCTAGATACATAATTAAATTTTGATTGATAATTCAAATGATTGTATGTTCTTGTTTCGTATAAGAATATATATATATATATATATATTTTTATTTTTCTTCTAATTATAATCTATAATCCAATTGTATGTTTTATTGTAGTCCATGTATAATGATATACTTCATCTATGATAATTCTATGCTTCGTTTGTGTGATGTAAATTTAACAATCAACAATAGTTTGTATAATGATAGAATATCTCAAAATTCGCATATTGATGAAAAAAAATAAAGTTTATTTGAAATACCCCCATTTCTTATTGGAATCCTAAAAAACATTTATAATGAATTTTAATAATTTTTTTGAATTTGTATAAAGCTGAATCCGGCCAATTCGGTCAATTCCCGATCTGAATCGCCAATTCACCGAATCAGATGGGTTTTTTGGGTACCGATCTGTGTTTTAAACCACCGCCTAACACATCACCCGTTCTTTCTCTCTAGAGCAAATAGCTCGTCTCCTTTCACTTTTCTTCTTCTTCTCGCCAAGTCACCCCACTTTCCTCTCTCTAACTACATTGGACTCCTTAGTTGCTCCAATCTAAATTTGGCACATCATGGTAAAGACATGAAAATAATTTTTCAAATAATTAAGGCATTATTTTCATCTCTCTTGGTAACAATAGAAAAAAATAATAATAATTAAAAATGTCAAGAACAAGGCACATATGAAGTTAGGAAGTTTTAAAGGGGAAATAAACAATAAGATTGTCTATTGATGTAAGAAAAGGCTATCAATAAAAAAAAAGGCGATATGATTTAAATGAAATGATTTCCATAAAATGTTTGAGACCTGTATATACAAGAATTTCATCATTCTCAACTAAGAGAAACCCCATATCCTTGCATGAATTTCAGAGACCCCATAACCTTACATCAGTTTCGTAACAAGAGACCCCATACATCTAGTTAACATCAATTTCAGCGACCCCATCCATCTAATTAACATCAATTTCAGAGACCCCATACATCTAATTAAATATAAAGTCCGTCAACCAACAGTAGGCTGCACAGTAAGAATTCAACATTTAAATATCAAGTACAAATTAACTAAAATCCTAGCGGTTAATGAGATGATCTTTTACATGCATGTTATGAAATAAATTCCTAGTGATAAACAACATAGTACATTCAAAAACAAAAACCATTAGTTAGGCTGTATTCTGGTCAACAGAAATAATGAATCAGCTTAATCAGACCTTCAGTAAAGGGATACTCTCTTGAGAATCACTATGATAATAATTCATGTGAGCAGCATGAAGAGCCATCACACATCCTGACTATCCACTCCATTAATCAGAATAACAACAACATTATGTACTAGTGCCATAAGAAATACAATAGATGCACCAGATCCAAAACAAACGAATAGATATTTTTGGTAATGTGATGCGAACAACAAAAAGTAATAACATGGAATTGCAGGAGTTTATCCATGTCCCTCAAGATGCCAATGATTCTAGGTTCCCGAGGTGTTCAGAACACATAAAACTTACAAGCACATGGTTATGCAGATTCGAACAGCACAACCATCATACTCTAAATTGCATCTGCAACAACAGCCAATTGATTTAAAATACTGTGCCCATATAAAAAACTAAAAAACCATGGGAACTTCATATAAGGTCAGAATCAAATAATTTTGCCTTCCCCAACTAAAAGATTTGAAGTTTTGAACAACTAGCTCACCAACCAATCCCTTGAAGCCTCATATGTAAGTAGTTCACCAAATTCTACCATTGCACTCCCTATAAAATCCGACTAGAGGAAGAGTCAATGAACAGAAAGTAGTCCATTAATTGTAAAAACAAACCATGCTCTTGCCCTCACATCCCACTCAAAATCAAATGCGGAAGGAACAAAAGAACAAGAAGGAAACAAGGGCATGTTTGTTGTCCATGCCTATAATGAGAAAAACAATTCTTACTATATCAAAAAGTTTTCTCTTACATTAAACATTTTGCTAACAAAAAAGAACACAGCAGAATCAAAAAAAGAAAATAGCACTAGAATTCTAGAAATGCACCACAACAGTAGCATAAAATAAGAGAAATACAGTGATTCAAGAAACTAAATAGTTCACATGATTCAAGAAAATAAACAAACTCAATAAAAAAAGCAAACCAATTCCTTTGGCAAATCAATCTTATTGATACAGTTCACATGATCATGATTCACATATAAGGTGGTTTTATCTAATTCCAAACTCCTTTGATAGCATCCATTCAAATATTTTCATCAAAAGCACTAGAATTTTAGAACTAGATCGCTCAAGCCAAGAACACAGAGTAGATCCTCAGAAATAAATTAAATCATCAGTAAAATAGTCACAATATCAACTTAGGACTATGGGAAACATTTCTCAGTGACAGCTATCCAATGGCTAGCTCCAAAACATTCCGTGTAAACATTATTTTAGCACTAAAAGCATATCAAAACAATCATATCAGAAGAAACCACAGCAGATAGAATCGATATATAGAAATAAATGACAGTCAATTCTCTATAATAAAAAAGACGAGCAAATTTCTATATATCAGTCAATTCTTTATAATAAAAAAGACAACCAAATTTGATCAAGGGTCAAGAACTATGCTCAGTAAACAAACATATGCTGCAACAACCATTGAAGGCAGTAATTTCTAAAACCCCAAAAATAAGCATTCAAACAACAGAGAGACAGATTCATTTCCCCATGAACAAGCAAGAACCCACAAATTTGCAGAACCACCACAAAACATCCAATTAAAGTAACTTCAAGAAAGAGAGAGAGGAAGATGGTTCATTCCTCTATGAACAGAAACCCAAATCCACATAATTAACACAGTTGAAACCACAACATCCAATTACAGTAACTCCATGGAACCACAGCAAGAAAAGAAAAAATGGTTGAAGAAAAAAGGTTTCTTTCTCTAAAATCAAGCACTCTTGAGATAGAGAAATGGTTCTAAATAAAAGGAAAACGTACCCAATCACCATGGGATCTCAAAAGCATGGGATTGAACAAGGAATTAGGCTTACCTGAGATTTAGGATTTTTGTGGGGAATGAAGATCCCTAACAGCAATAATAAATAAATAAAAACAAAAACAAATAAATGTGATAGATATCCTAGATTTTTGCAGATTTTACAGGTTCTTCTGAGGTCCCTTTGTTAAGCCATCAAAATATACGGATTTGAGCAAGAAAATTAAAGATAAATTTAGGGTTTCTGTAGGGGATTCGAAGTGCTTCAACAAAAGTACAAAATCAGAAAAAATAATAGAGGAGAGAGAAAGCTACATTTTGGTGGATCTGTTTTTCTGCTCCCAAGAACCCTAGAAAAACTGATAACAATAAATAAAATTAGGAAAAAGATTAGGCTTACCTATTTGGAGTGACTGAACTTCAACAGCGAGACAGAGGAGCACACGTAGAAAAGCAACGGTGGTTTGGCGCAGAACAATGGCGCAGAGAGTGATGAGGGAGAGAGATGGCCCAGATGGGATTCGATAGAGAGAGATGGGTTTACAGTCTTAGATCTCGAGTCACAAAGACGTAAAGAAAACAGGGAGAGAAACCCTAATATTGAGAGAGAGATAAGGGTTATGGGTTCTCAAATACAACAGTGGGGATTAGTGTTATTAAAAGTACGGTAGATAAGGTTTGAAAAATTATAAAAGTATTATATATATTATAAATATAAATTAATAAATAAATAGTGTGTGTATAATATATATATATATATATATATATATATATATATATATATATATTATTGAAAAATTCGGGTTGGATCCTGATCAAATCCACCCCAACCCGGATCCGTTCCGAATTACTATTTGGATTCGAATTTCAGATCTGGATCCGAATTTCACATCCAAATCTTGGATCCACACCTGGATCCGAATAGGATCCAAAATTCGGGTTTCGTATCAGATATGGTAAATTCTCAGCCCTATCCAACTAGACTAAGAAGGTTTGCAAAAATTTTCCTTCATGATTTCTAATAACAGGTATCACGGCTTCACTAGGGTTACTGTTTGAGTAGCAACCAACACAGGTTCATTTAAGATTGTCATGTTCATCAACAAAGTAGCTGTTCATAAATCACGCACAATATTGAAAATAATTCTGATGTGGCTCCATCCAAATTCATCCAAAAAAAGAATTTAGCACGCTGAAAAATAGGCACAGAGATACTGAAGCATTTCAATTGAGTAACTTAGTAGTTATGACTGAAAAATACCAACTTAAACTCCATTTCTAAACTAAAAAGACAAGCAACAATAAGAGAGATATAGAGAACGAGATGGAGAAACATAAAATGAAAATGGTACACAAGCCACGACCCAATCTATTCAGCTTAATGAGGATACCATGTAAGCATGAGGTGCAGCCATTTTAAGATTGAAGGAGTTTACAGGAGATGAGGAAGACTTCGCATGATTGGTAACTAAGCCATACAGTGCTGTAAGACACTGGCTTGCTTCGCATAGGCTACAGCTTTTTGCTCTATGCCAAAACCGCTATTATGAACCATTTCGAAAACGGCAGCAAAAGCTCTACAAGTTGAAACCTGCTTTGTAAATTTTCTCAAGTAATAGGGCTCAATAATCCACTTCTAAAGCCCTGAACACCAAACCTGAATTTTGTTGCACAAAGTCGGCTTGTATCACCTCTAGGGTTCCACCATAGCTCTCCAGTACAACCCATCAACCTCAAATCCGAACCTTTCCCATACTATCCTTGTTGAAACTAACCCACTATCCATTGGGGTCCCCCTTCAACCCAACACACGGCTCCCAACAATGACAGCTCCCAAACCCACATAGCAATGCACCCAACACAACCACCATACCCCAACCACACAAGCCACGACTCCCCACAGCCACACTAGCAATCCAGCCCCCATGGACCAGCCTCACATCTCCACCTTAGACTCCACTCAAACACAACCCACCAGAATTTAATGTGGCCTCCTGCACATCCAACCTCAACCCCTCGAGTTCCTTCCCATTATGCAATTGATCACCCCCATAACTCTCCCAATCCCCCAACCCCCTCTCCTGCCCCTGCCCCTTTGTTGTGAACTCTAAGTTTATATTTAATTTCCTCTTATATTTTAAGTTCCTAAGGATTATTTGTCTTTTTCATTAATCAAGGGCAATTTTGTATTTTGGACTTTATTATTAACATAAAAGGATATATAAGTGGGGCGTGGGGGTCTGGTGGACAATAATGTGACCCTATTTCCCTTTCTTCCTCACATGACTCTCTCTCTTTCTAGATCCTAATCTTTCTTGTACTCTTTCATCTCTTACATATTAGTTTGTTGTATGTTAACTTGGTATCAGAGCCGGAAGCTTCAAGATACTTGGTCAATGCGCCGAATATGTGGAATCATCACAAATCCCCGCATACGAGCGATGCACCAAGAGCCACAAAACGCATTACGTGGCTGCATAATGCGTTATGCGGCTGCATTTGATGACAATTGAAAATTTGATATCCTAACTTGTTTACTTCTACTATTGTGTTAGAGCTTCAATATGAGTCTCTGAACTCTCAAAACATTGTAGAAACTCCTTTTTACCTAGTATGATGGAAGTATTGTTCCTTTTGCTATTGTGCATTATGATGTGTGGGATCCTTCTCTTGTTATTTCTATTCTTAGTTATTGGTAATTTTGTTTCTTTTGTGGATGGTTACTCTCGGTGTACGTGGATCATTCTTTGGAATACCAAAGATGAAGTTCTTGAAATCTTCAGGCTTTTCATAAAATAATCCACACTCAGTTTGATACTAAAACTAAGTTACTTAAATCTAATCAAGGTGGAGAATACTACAAAAAAGTTATTATCCAATCTTGAAGAGCATGGCATAGAACATCAGAATTCTTGCTCACATACCCCACAACAAATGGGGTAGTTGAAAGAAAGAACAGACATCTTGAAAATTAGTCGCACTCTTCTCGAGTAAGAATGCCAATGTTCCCAATAATTACTGATCAAAACTATAGCTATTGCATCGTATCTCATCAATGAGGATCTCTTCTCCTGTTCTAGACTACAGATCTCCCTATAAACTTCTTTGTCATGATCATCCACATTTTAGTGTTTCTACTAAGGTCTTTGGTTGTGTTATCTTCGTTCATGTTCTTGGTCCGAATCGTTGAAAGTTGGACCCCAAGTCCATGATATTTTTCTTGGTCATCCGCCCTATCAAAAGGTTACAGATGCTATGATCCTGTGTCGAGGAACAAATTTGTCTCAATGGATGCAACCTCCTTTGAGTCAACTCTTTTTTCTCCGACCTCTCTTCATGTGGAGCATAGTGTGGAAGAGAGACCTACTGTTCCCCTTCGCGTTCCAATGTTTTCTGATTATGGAGGATAGTGATGGACAGTTTTATGATGTTGAAGTTGGAAAAAAGGAAATAAAAGTCTAAATGTGAAGGAAACGTTTGTAGACTGAGAAAGGCCATCTATGGTCTAAAGCAGTCCCCTGGGGCTTGGTTTAAAAGGCTAAAGGTCCTGTTGAAAGAATTGGATGTCCTTAAAGTCATGCTGAAATACCTTATTCATCAAACATACCAAGACTAGAACCACGGTGCTAATTATATATGTGGATGACATTGTTGTAATAGGTAATTGTCATAAGGAAATTCAACAACTACCGAGTGTTCTGGCGAGATAATTTGAAATCAAAAGATTTAGGCCAGCTAAAAGTTTCTTTCTTGCAATAGAAGTGGCCACGTCAAAAAGAGGAATCTCCATCTCTC